GGCAGGGACCCTCCTCTCCACGCCCCACGCTCCTGGGGGCCGAGGGCAGCAGGGACAGAGGTGAGGGCCGCTCAGTGACCGGCTGCCCCAAGCGGGATGCCCACACCAGGGAAACAAACCCCAGAGGGCCAGGGGCCCAGCCCAGCTCCCGAGAAGGCGCTGGACCCGGGAGACGGCCGCTCCTGGAGAACCACGGACGGGCTGCTCGCGCAGACAGACGGACACCAGGCAGCCCGCCTCCCCTGCTCCACGGCCAATGACAGGGCGCAGGGCAGACCAGCGCTGTTCCCCGTTTGAGGAGACACCCCGCAACCTTCACCCTATGTCCAGACTGACTCACAGACCCATCCTGCTGGGGGGAGGGGGGGCAGGAGCCTCCCCTCAGAGCATCACCCGGGATGGCACCCCACCTTCTCAGCCAACCGTCTGGAAGCAGGAAATCACCATGGAACCCACAAAAACAGAGCAAACCAGGGGACACAGAAACAGGGGACCCTCGCAACCTCTGCCAGTCCCGGTGGCCCTGGGGGAGCACCGCTGCCCCACGAGGAGGCGGGTTCCTGGAGGGAGCGCGCTGGCCAGAGCGGCTCCACCTGATGGGACGCCCTTCCCGTGGAATTCCAGCTCAGAGGTCCCCAGGCCCCCTGCACCCCCTGCCTCCGCACCTCAGAGCCGCAGTCACCCCCAACAGGGATCCTGAGACACCAGGCTGCTCAAGGCTGCCGCCGGCCGATCTCTGCCTGAGGGAGCAGGGCCTCGGACCAGGAAGACGCCAGTCCCGGCGCAGGGAGAACAGCGTCCACTGGAGCAGACCGTCCAGCCTTGGGCGCTCCCGCCGCACCCCGTGGGCCCATGGGCCTAACACGCGTCGGCCACACGACAGGGCCACCCTGCAGGGAAGAGCCCTCCCGGAACTCGGTGTCAGAAGGACAGAGGGACAGCACTTCCGAGGAGCCCTGCTGGGGCCCTAGGGACGCAGCGCTCCGCCCTGGCGTCCCCGAAAGGGAAGCACCTGGGCCCCGGCAGGAGGGCAGCGCTCGCCACACCCAAGCGCCAGGATTCCTCTCCGGCAGCACCTGCACCTGCGCCGCTGAAAACCAGCCCAACGTAGTCCAGGC